GGGAATGTGTGGGGGGGTAGCACGAGTCGCCGTATGACAGAGGAGCAGAAGGTGGAGCGTCGCGAGCGCAATCGAGAGCATGCAAAGCGCTCCCGTGTCCGCAAGAAGTTCTTGCTAGAGTCACTGCAAAAAAGCGTGAACGCCCTCCAGGAGGAGAACGACAAGCTTCGGGGAGCGATCCGGAGCCACCTGAAGGAGGGCGCGGATGACTTGCTCAAGACTTGCGAGGTGGAGGTGGATGAGTCCATTCTGGCCTCGGACCCTTGCTCGGCCACGAAGATCCTGGACGACCCGGACTACACGCTCGTCAAGGCGCTACAAACGGCGCAGCAGAACTTCGTCATCACCGACCCGACGCTGCCTGATAACCCCATCGTGTACGCCTCGGGCGGGTTCCTGAGTCTGACGGGCTACCAGATGGACCAGATCCTGGGCCGGAACTGCCGCTTCCTGCAGGGGCCGGACACCGACCCGGCGGCGGTGGACAAGATCCGCCGCGCCATCGAGGATGGAACGGACGGGAGTGTCTGCCTTCTGAACTACCGGGCGGATGGCTCCACCTTCTGGAACCAGTTTTTCATCGCGGCGCTTCGGGGAGCGGACGGGAACATCGTGAACTACGTGGGGGTCCAGTGCAAAGTGAGCGAGGAATACGCCTCGGAGGTGTTGAAGAAGGAGGCAACATCCTCGACGGTGGCGGAAGCCTCCTCCAAGCGCTGAGGTTGGAAAAGAGGGGCTGGCAGGCTCTGCCGTGGTTGAGATGATGACATCGCGACAGTCGCGCCCCCTGGTCCTTCCTTTTCGCGCCACCTGGACCTTTACATACCACTGACATCTTCTTGTCCAGTGGACGCGGTCGGGAGGGGTAACTGACATCATATTTTTTTTGTTTTTTTTTTCCCTGCTCTCTTCCTCGAGATATTAAAACAAGGTGGTTTTCTAAGCATCTTCATTTAGGCCCAGGCGGGTGCTTCACAGGGGTAGAATAAAAGTTTCATAAAGAGCTCTGCAGTTGTGGCGGAAATAATTGCGGAGGTAGGAGGGGACGCAGGAGGTGTGACGACAAGGGTAACATCTTCTTATCATGTGACTGGACGCTGCCTCGTTGGTCGTTGTGAAAATATACCTTGACGGTCTTTGGGGGGAAGAAAGAGGAGAGGAGACTCATTACAGGACTGGAGAAGGCAAGGAATAGACAGATAGGCACTTGTACGCCGTGGGCACACGTCGATTTCATTTTAATCTAAAGAAGGGTGAAGTAATATTACAGATTAGCACGATATGGAATGGAGAAGGGGAAGCAAAAGCAAGGGCCGTTGTTTATATAGTGGGTCAGCCGAAAATAGCGTGGAGCGGACGGTAGTACATTTCCTGCAAGGTGAAGCAGGAATCGCTTTGGCCGCAGTCGTGCTTATTTTATAAATTTGCTCGCAAAAATATAAGGCTGGGGAAGAGGTGGAGGACGAAGAATCGGGAAGGGGCTTCCAGGGCTGTGAAAGTGTGTGTGGAACCGGGTCCGAGAGAGTCTCTGAGTGTTGTGAAAGGAAGTTTTTTTTTACACGTAAGGGCAGACGAAGACGAGACATCACACACATGAAAACGAAAAAAATACCAATGAGAGAGGACGGACCCCGCAGTCTCGAACACCCCGTGGCTGTCCGCGTCATGGATATTACTCTCTCCTTTCCTTTTTGGCCTCGCGCATTTCTGAGTCGTTAAAGTACTGCTGAGACTGCTGAGGGTTATCTTTCTAATTTTCTTTTCCTCTTCCATGTTTCATACATTGCACCTCCCCAGCAGGTTCTGCTCTAAACACTAAAATAACATTCTGCGCGTGCACCGGGTACCTCGCATACATTCACGAACCCAACAATTCCTAATCAAATACATGACTCGGATGTGGGCGCTTCTCTCCTCCATCTACACCAGGATGCAAGCGCAACTCATGCCCACGCGAATCGTCCGTGCTTGAAGGCATGTGTGCGACAAGACCTACCCGCGTCAACTCGAGGCCCTTCTCCTTCCCCATTCCCTTTCCTGGTTTTACACATTCGATATATTACAGTACAGCGGCCGGAGCCAGTGTGACACGCCCCTCGTCATCGGCCTGACTGGTTCTCGCGCCCGCCCATCCAGGGTACATGAAGCGAGCCTCCGCCATGGGATCGATCTCTAAGGGGGCTCCGTCCGACCCGTCGTGATGCACGTTGAAGAGCTCCCATTCCTTGATGCCCGCCCGGTCCAAAGCCGCCAGAATCCTGGCTTTGCATGGCTCCGCGGACGGCCACTCGCCTGTGGGCGAGGCCAAAATCGCACCCGTGTACGACTGACCCGCTGCCGCCGCCGCCCCACTGTAGTAGAACAAGACCCAGGACAGATCATCGGCCGCATCCAAAATGCGCCAGAACTCGGAGCTGGTCACGCCGTTGTCCAAGACCGAGTAATAGAAGGTCCCAGGAACTTTCCCACGACGCACGCGGTAGAGCCGGCGTCGCCACACTTCCCTGCCGTCGAAGGTGATGACGCGGAAGACTGGCTGGTACCACAAGGCCTGCCCCTTCCGGTAGTAGGTCATGTGCTGGGAGGGGAAAAAGTCGTAGGCGGGGTTGACGCCGGCGATCACCTTCCAACTCCAGGGGCAGCCTTGCTGGAGCTGGCCCAAGTGCCCGAACTGGATCTCCTCGGCCGCCTCGTGGCTAAGGGGTTCCCCTCGAAAGTGAGAGAGCGGGGCGGGGTCCGGGGACATGGGGATGGCGGCGTGGTTCTGCAGGCAATTGTGCTTCTGGAGGATGCAGAGGGCAAATTGCTCGAACTCCCGCGACTCATACTGGACGATGCACCGGTACCGGCAGACCTGGTCGTTGGGGGCACACTGCTCCAGGCAGGAGAGGGCGGCCTTGCACGCGGGATTGCGCTGACAGTCGATGATTTGCGCCCCGCAGTTGCCCAGCATGCAACGAAGGGCCTGGAGCGTCACGGGCTTGAGAATCTCTGAGACCGCGGGGATGTCCACAAGCACGGCGTTGATGACGACCAGGACGCTGTAGAGCACGTCGTCCGAGTGGCCCCGCTTCCAAAAGCCGCGCACCGTCTCGAAGAGCTCCAACAGGCGCTTCCGCTCCGTGGGTACGGGGAACGCTTTCCAAAAACCAGCCAGAGGTCCGTAGGGTCGAGCAGGGCCGATGCGACTTTTTTGCGCGAGCTCCGGACACGAGTCAAGGGCGATCAGGTGCGGGACCTGTGCCATGTAGCCTTTCAGCTCGTGTGCCACCTTCGGATTCTTGACGTCAAGGAAGTACATGGCGTCGGGCACACCTGAGGCCGACGCAGCGGCGGTGGAAGGGGAAGAGGAGGGAGAGGAAGGGAAGGGGGCGGGTGGGAGTCCAGAGGAAGGCCCCAGGGGCAGATGCGCGAGGGCCGCCGCGCCCCGGTCCAGAATCTCCTCCTCTGTCACCACATGCAGAGCGAAGGCAGGGTCTACATACTGCATGCGCCGATGCATGTGCTGCATCACCTCCGTCCAGGGGGCCTCCAGCTTCCCGCGGGCCCCATGGCCGGGAACGACGGCCACCACATGCACGGGCCTCGAGCCGGCGGCCGGGCGAGGCGGGACGCGTCTTCCTCTGCCCGTGGTCTGCCCCCGGGGTGTTCGTTTGGCGGGTGCACTTGTCGCCATGCTCAGGACAGTGCGGTCACCACGCTTCGAGACACCACCCGCGCATCCACAACCCCCGAGTCCACCGCAGCTACAGTCTTTTGAGGCTGCCCGCTTGGAGTTTGCGTAATTCTTCCACACGCGGGCGATCAAGGGTGCCATCCAGAAGATCGGTGTGCGCGGTCGGGCCGCGGCGACGAAAGCATGTGCCTTTTCATAGCGGGCCAACGCGGAGGAGGCCTCAGACGACGGAGGTGGTGACGACGAGGAGGAAGCTGCAATGGGAGAGCGTCTAAACGGCAGGGGTGCGTAGAAAAAAGCCGTACATGCCCAAACGCACAAAAGCAAGGTCAAGACTGTGATGCCAGACCTGGACAGCTGGGGCGCGAGGCTAAATGAAGTTGGCTTTCTTTTTCTCCTGGTTGACGCTTCTCGCTGTAACGATGACGGCTGATTTGGCGCCTTGCCCCTCATTTTCGTGTTTCGCCTGTGCACCAAGAAATGAAAGGAAAGTAGCGTGCGGAAAATTATGCCGCGTGGCACCTAACATGGGACCTTTGCGAGTGCGCGTTCTGCAAATGGGGGGCTGGCCACCCGCGGGGGGTGTCGCGACACAGGGGTGAAGGGCAAGGCAGCGAAAGGCCTAGGTCCGAGTCATCATATCTCAGGACCGTTACGTCTCTTTTGAAAGTTTCAGCCATAGTGAATCCCCCGCACGCACGCATGAGGGACCACGGCGACCCACGGGGTGATGGTCGCGTGCACGTGCTGTGCATGGGGCCGTTGCGTGGAGCTCTCTGGGTATTTGGATTCGGGTAGCACTTGGGACGACGGCGGGGCGCGGCGCGGGCGCCGGCGTCTGCGTCAGAGGAGAAGCTGCATCTTGGGATTGTTCCACCCCAGCGACCTGTCATACCACTTTCCTCCTCCGGGGCCTGCTGCCGAGCATGCTCCACCCAAATGCAGACACTTGAGCTCGTGATGACACCCGATGTTTTCTCTGTGGGTATCTCACCTCATGCTTTCAGGCGGGTGGGGGGCCAGTGCAGTGGGGCTGCGACCCCGCTTTCATTCATTTTTGTTCCTATTGAGAACCCTCCAGGTTCCATCCCTCCAACTACAACTATTTTAATCGTATCTTACCCCCCACCTCTCTCCCAAAGTTTCCTTACATACTCATACATTGCCATAGGTTGAAACGTGCTAAGGGTGGTCCTCGCCCATCCCTTGCGACGTAAACATCGCGAATCTCATGTCTCTGTCAACTCCAATACTCCCGGATTTCGAAGGGGAGCCTCCGCCACTCTTCACCGACGGGATGTTTGAAGAGGGCGTGGAAGGAGTTGAAGAGCAACATGTTAATGCATCGTACATGAAGGGAGAGGGAGAGGAGATTGAAGGAGTACATACTGCGGACATGGAAAGGAAAGGGGGCCAGCTCCAAGGCAGAGCGGCTGCACAATCTGAAGAAGCGGCAGTTTTCATGGGGGGTGCTTGCCCTGAGAATAATATGGGCATGCGTATCAGCACTAGCTTAAACAGCATTGAGACCGACGTGACCAACGCAGGGAGGCAAGAGGTACTGAGCCCGCGCAACCGCACGACTCCTCGGCGTTCCTGCGGAGGGCCCAAGGTATGGATGGAAGAGAAAGTGTTTGGGGAGGATCCACACGGAGGGAAACGTCCTTGCTCAACGTGTCGGAAATCCAAGGTTCGCTGCGACCGCGGGTTCCCCTGCACGCGCTGTGTACGCCTGGGCCTGGACTGCCGCGAGCAAGCTAGGGTACGGCGCGGAGGCCTCTCGCGCTCCCACGGAGGCAGGCC